CCAATATTCTTGAACTCCCTCCATCAAAATGATATATCACTTCCTACTTTACTGAATGACTATATCAAAAAGACTGAAAATAACTAGTATTAGTGAGGATGTGGCAAAATGGGAATCCTTTGTAAAGGTAGAGTCCTTGGAAAGCAGTTTGGCATTTCAACTTGTAGGTTTCTACTGAAAAGAAATGAAAACCTATGTGCCTTCAATGACTTGTCCGTGAATGTTCATAGCGGTATCATTTATAGTAGCCAAAGTGGAAACAATTCAAATGTCTATCAACTGGTGAATAAACAAAATGTGGCATATCCACACAATGGAATACTATTTGGGAATAAAATGAAACACATTTAATTAATACACGCTACATCAGGAATGAACCTCAATGTTCCAAAAAGACAAATGAATAGAGGCAGAACATAGCTTCGTGTTTGTCTGGGTCTGGAGCATGGGAACAGAAATGAACTGCCCAAAGACACAAGGGACTTTGGGAAGTTGATGGAATTGTTCTAAAACTGAATTGTGGAGATGGTTGCACAATTTTAAATTACTAAGCATGATTAAGCCTTCACCTAAAATGGGTTAATTTTATGGTATATGAATAATCCCTCAACAAAGCTGTTAAAAAAGAACCGAGAGAAAGCTTATCTGGCATGCAACTCAAAACAGTACAGCCATTGGTTACCTCTCCTACGGTCCCTATATCAGGTCGAAATTTGGAAGTAAGTTACTTTCCTGCTGGCCTTTTACTCCCAAACGTGGGTGGAGTAGAATGATAAGAGTCTACTTCAGCTCTGGATTCTCACTAACTGAAAATATCTCATGACAGCCTGCAGTTCTCTCACAAACCTTTGACTTCTTAATAGATACCCTTTTGTGTGTGTGTGTGTGTGTCTCTCATATGCTTCAGTGGGAGGTAAAAATGATTAATAGAATACAGTGATGGAGAGTAAGTAACAGTATCATAAAACAGTATCATAAAAAAATGAAAGAAGAAACTCTAATTGGCTGTATTCTCAAGTGCAATGGCCACTTCCACCTAAAACGAGTTGCCAAATATCAAAACAAAGATCAGAGCAGTGCTTTGTTAAAACACAAAGGTAAGTACAGTCAGAGCTGTCCTATAAACTAGACTGAGATGAAGACTTAAAACAACATTGCAAAAATACCTATGAATTTAACTCGTTTTTTAATTACACAGATTTTAACACGGAACCTCATCTCCATGAATAAACTGGCTGTTCTCACTTCTCTCTCTTCTTTAAAATTAATTTGTTTACTATCAAGTAAAATAAATTATCAATGTTCATGAACCATATACATACATCCCACAATGACTCTATAAAGTGAACAGCCATGCAACCATAAATCAAGTAAGAAAAAACAATCATTGGATTTCTGGGTCTGCAATGTTGATTTATTTCACCTAGACAGTCACACTGATTATCTTTTAAAACTGTATTCATTTAGCTACTGTTCAGATACTAAAGTGCACATTATATTTCAACACAAATGTCTTTTATGGCCTGAAATCTAATCACATTCTGGAAATCAGTATCAATATAGAGAACACATAGGCCATAGAAACAACCCATTCTTAAATTAAACCCACTAACAGTCCTCAATTTCCTGGAGCCATCCAATGCTATTTCAGAATATCCATGATACAAAGGTCAGAAGGTTCTAATGAAGTTAGTTTGAGAAGTGGTTGACAGAGCATTGGTTAAATTTTTAAAAATTAACTGTAGGAAATGATTTCAAAGAAAGAGATATAGTCACACACGTACACACACACACACACACACACACACACGATTACCATTCAGATCAATACAAGGAAGCTATCAATGAGTATCACTTGAACTGTGGCTACAGACTACCCACAAATCTCAGACTCCTAGACCTTTCTGAAAGCCTACAAGATCAGAATCTCTACGGAGTGGGGCTATGAAATCTCTGTTTTAACAGACAAACCAGGAAATTTCTGTATGTTGAAAGTCCAAAAAACCACTGTCACAAACAATGTGTATCTTGTTTAAAATAAATGCTTCGCCTCACCTCAAGGATGATCATTTGGGGAAGGGAAACTTGGGATGGATCTATGTAAAAGGCAGTAGAAATATGTCTGGGATGTAGACAGAAGCATCTACTTATACTGTGAAATAAGTCAACCTGTTAATCCACTAAGCTAAAATGAAAATTGTTTGCAGCTTACACATCAGAAATTTCAGTTCTCCCATTCATGAATTGAGGTTGATAAGCTTCTCTCTCTTCCTAGAACACATGATGGCTCAATAACATAACATGCAAAAGGGCTTCACTTGTCATCAGACAACTGGAGCATAACTGGGGTAAGTGGTTCAGAGGAACGTTTCCTGAGATGCAGTGTGTCCTGGCGTCGGGAATCGCTAGCACAACACCTGTCCCATCGATGGGGCCCTGTACCAGGACTACTTGCTTTACTTCAGACCCACGTTGCCCCGCAGATGTATTTGACGGTAAAATTACCGAGTGTGGAATTCCTACCAGAAAGTGTCAGTTGGCTTTGCTGCTACAACTGAAAGACTAGACAGACTCAGCTCGTCACACCTGGCAGGAGGCCACCAAAACTGGTCATATCATTGTCAAAACTGTGGCTAAGACTTCCTTTCCTGAGTACGCAGGATGGGGTAGGTCCAGAGACCAAATCTCCCCTGGCTAAAGTTGGTTTAAAAAACAACTAAGTCACAAAAATTAAAATTTTAAAAACCTTAGCTCTCGGGAAACAATAGGAACTAGATCAACTAAAATTCCAGAGAGGGAAGAGCCTTTATAGGTGAAGTATCCTGGCTTTCTTTCCTGGGTGCACTTGGCAATTTGGGGCTTAGGCCAGATTTTGAAACTTTCGGGCAGGAGAAATGAAAACTAAAATGCACACCAATGAAGGCAAGAGCCAAATGGTTCCATTTCTAAGGACTAAGGAGAAACAGACCTCCTGGTCTCTCACTGGAATGGGGATGAAGCAGACAGACTTGAGTCATGTTAAATCGAAAACTCAGTTTCAACCCAGTTCAATCCCTAATGGAAAACTAAAAGCTAAAAGAGTATTAAGGATTTTTCATTTCTAGAGCGAGACAGAGCAGGTTCTGAATCAGAGTGCTAACCTAAATAGTTGCCCAGGGGAAATTTCGTTTCATCTCTACAACTCCTGTTTCCCCTGTTATGAAAGAGTACCTACCTCATCAGGGTTTTGCTAATCATAAAGGAGATAATGCATATGTAATTCTAAAGGCAATATCTTGTATACAGAAGGTGCCAATACTTATTTACTTTTAAGCACAAGATTTCCTTCCCTCTACCCCACACAAACCCTACTTTGAGAAGAAATAAGGAGAAAGGAGGAGAAAAGGAAGGTCTCTCTCCAGACATGTGTCCTCTCCTAAGCCCATGGCTGTGGAGTTACGAGCCCTTGGAAGAAAGGAGTTCAGAGAGGCAGGAGGTGGTGAACCAGGAGCAGCCCTGGGAGAGGAGAAATCCTCTCCCAATGCAAGGATCAGGCCCTTTATATCCTTGTGTAAAGCTGCAGCTCAGGAAAGTATTAGGTATGTTTCTTAGGAAAGATAAACAGAGCGATGGTCCAAAGGAAGTAAAGGTACAAGAGGCAGCCAGCACCCCCAAATTGGGCACAAACACACAGGGATACACCAGCGGGTCTGCAGAATCTGGGGGTCAGAATCTGATGGGTGGCAGCATCCACACCCCCACCCTGTGGGCCCACACTGACTGCCCTGCTTCCACTCAGCCCGCCTGACTACTAGAAACTCAGGAGATAAGTGAGCAGGCAAAAATCCATGAGCAGCAATCAGCAGTTGGAAAGTGTAACTCAAAATATCCCTTCCCAATAGCTACAAATAGTATATAGGCCTGCTTGGGATAAACTCCACAAGAAATAAGCAAGGCTTATGTAAGGCCCATGTATCTGTTACCAAATGACAGGAACGAAAACACAAATTAATGGTGAGGGTATAATATCTCTGAATAGGAAGACTCAATTAGTGGTGATGTCAGTTTTTAAATGACTTTTTTTAAAAAAAGATTTATTTATTTATTTATTTGACAGAGAGAGACACAGCGAGAGAGGGAACACAAGTGGGGGGAGTGGGAGAGGGAGCAGCAGGCCTCCCGCGGAGCAGGGAGCCCGATGTGGGGCTCGATCCCAGGACCCTGGGATCATGACCCGAGCCGAAGGCAGACTCCCAATGACTTTTTAAGAATAAAGCAATACTCAGCAACATTCCAACACAACTTGTCATTACAGTTTATTAACTTATTTTAGAAATTATGGCAGGGTTATAAGAAAATATATCAACAGAAAAATATGTCATTTTGCCTAAGTCAGCTCATGTGCATGAAATTGATTAGAACAAGATCATGTATTTTTTAATTTATTTAAATGCCTATTTAAAATGGTGGCTAGTCGATAAATGGTCTTGGGCCAATTTGTTATGTGTTAGAAAAAAATAGTCTTCTTACAACATAAGATAAATAAAGATATGATTTATGAATGCATGAAAATACTTGTGATAGCAACACTCAAAGTTAGACACAAAACCCAGAAGTCATAAAATGAAAGTTTGACTCACTACCTAAGAATTAAAATCTTACATATGAAGAAAGACCATAAGTACCTTTTTTATAAATGACAAGGCTTCTATTATAAGATGCTAACTTGATCACATCTTATGACCTCCTTTTTGGCCCAAGACCTTTGGAATTTCTGAATATAAAATAAAAACTGTTCCCTGATTATATGCCAAAACAAAGAGAGGAAACCTCTCCTGAACAGAAACTGAGGAATCCCAGCAAATGGAAAACAGGCCACAGATGACAAATGATGTAAAGACGGCATATTCACAGTTATTAATCACTGAAGTTTTTCAATAATGATTCAACGAGAGTTAAAGATGAAAGTGTACAATTCAATATATTTCCTTCTGAAAGTGCTTTCTTAAACTATTTGCATTCTAATCTTCATTCACGTCCCAGATGAACTTCAGGGGAAAATCTTTCATCTCCCTTTGGAAAATCTTGTCAAACCTTTCATTCTGCTCAACAGTCATGTGATTTTTCCAGTCTCCAATGGTACCTGGGAGGAAAAACAAGGAAATTGCATCAGTGAAGATTCCGGGAAGAGGGGGCATGTTGTTGGGAGAAACATTTTTTGCACTTTCATTTTTCTCCCCACTAAGGCCCCCGTTGACTCCTGCACATGGCCACGACCCTTCACTCTCCCACCTCCTGGCAAGGGGGCAAACTCATCCTCACAATTATGCTATAATTTAAGATAAGTAGCCAGATTTCTCAGCTGTCAGCCACCTGGAAAAGAAGAAAACTCTGGCAACTTGTTTACTATTGCATTCCAGGCTAGCATGGGCTCTGGGAGTTTACAGAAGTCCTTTGCAATTTCCATAAAATCAGATATCGATGAGCTAAATTTACTGGTGAGGACATGGATGCTCAGAGAGAGTTTTAAAATGTCACCCAAGGTCCCACACTTTGGAACGGCTCACCTGTAATTATTCCCTCTTTGCCCACTTTAGGTTTACAACAGTCTTACTTTAAACTTCAAGACACGGAGTCTTGATGACAAACAGAGGCTGACCGAAGGAGGGGCAAGAAAAGAAGCACTGATCTTAAAACACACTGAACTGTAAACAAATAACTAGATACACTAAGGAAACTGGAAACGCCGCGCTAAAGCTAGTGTGCATGACATCCCGTTAGATCTCACCGAAGAGAAGAGTGCGTGTGTGTACACAATAAACATATGGGGATGTGCTTCACTTCCACAGGCGATTTGGCTCCTTCTATTTTTCTTCTTAGCCATTTCAGTCTGTCATTTTCAGGTGTGTTAAAGATGTAGGAACACAGAACATTTTCTTTTTTCAAAGAGAAACAAGTTGCAGGTGCAAGGACAATGGCAGTTGAGAAGGGCCTTAGCATCTACCACATGATAGGGTGTGCCGGGCATAACGGGGAAGGCAAGTCCCCACCTCATGTGGGCTCCCAGGTAACAGTGTTTCATATTTTTGAATTGAACAGGTAAAGACATAGGAAGAGATTAAGTGAAGGAAATACTAATTTAGAGAAATCAAAGCGAATATTTCTCGCTACTTGACCTAGAGGCACAGAACCCTATGATTGAATACAAAATTTATGTCTCTAATTCTGTATTATAGATTTTCCGTGTATTAAGTTAGAACATCACAACATATCATTTAGAAAGATTGTATAATATAAAAAAAATTTTAACATGTTCAAATTTCTCAGTTATATAAGGAGTCATTCATTTAAAATCCCACTCACCAGAGGTATGAGATATTGAGACAAATGAGCTATTCCTATACATTTTTGTGATGTAAGAATCTGGTTTACAGAGGGACACATGATAGTCCTGCCCAAGATCAAAAGGACAGCGACTGTGTGTTCTTCATTCAGCCCTGGTGGAGGTTTAGGGTAAATCACAGAGATGCAAGAGCAGCTAGTGATGGCCGACGGACCCATCATTACCTCACCATCACGTGCTGAGCCCATGCTGATGAGGGGGGGCAGTCTAACACTAAATGAACATCCATTTTGTGGCAGACATTGTGCTAGGTATCGGTAGATTTTCAGGGGGCCATGGAGAAGACCTTGTGATTGTAGGTTACTCATCAGATTCATTTGGGGAACAAATAATGTAGTCTCCTGAAAAGCACCAAAAAGAAATCATAGAAAATCATCCGTCCAGAGACATGAACAGGCCCATGAGGGCTCTGTGTTAGGAAAGTCCGCCAACAAGCTTAGAAGCTACACCTGGTCCATTGGTTACCACAGTGCAACATGGCCACTCACTGTTCAACCTCACCTTTGCGAAGGAAATGACCTTTTACATTCATCCCATATTCTGTGGTTATTATATTGTCGTAATTTGCCAGTGGGTCATACTTCATGTTCTCAAATGTGACCTGTCTCACAACAGCATCCATATCCTCCTCACTCACTTCTTTCCCCAGAAACTTGCAGATTTTTAACACAGAACCTCTGAGATCCTGAAATAAATCAGAGTATGATAAATTATGTACATTATAAGAAAGAAGATTTACACAAAAGTGACAGCTAAGTATTTTTATGGGAGTGAAAAACGTAGGTGCTTATGCTGGTTAGAAAAATGGACTTGGACCATGAGAAGTGACTTGCTTATTCCTTCTTGGTAAATTAATCTTTCACTTTGTACTGTTTTAGAGCACATTTGGGTTCATTTAGGATCACTCATATTTCATTTTATCTGTGTTAACTCAGCAAGTATTTGGGAAGTAGGTACTATAGGTCAGACACCGCCCATGTGATGGTGCAAGGGAACAGAGGCACAACAGGGAATCAGTGCTGGGAATTCAATACACAAACTTATGGACAGAGAGTAATTGTGTAACAGAATTCAGAGAAAGTCTCAGTAAAGATGACAAATTTGTTCTGGGAATTAAAGCAAAAACAGGAATTTTCTAGATAGCCAAACTGAAGGTATGGAGTCCAGGCAAAAGAAAGAATATATGCAGTGTTGGGGTTGCATGGAAGGTGTGAGATACCAGGTCACAGGACTATCAGAATTTGAATTTCCCTGGTGGAGCTTTGCAGGCGCATGCCTGGGATGAGAAAGAGGGGAGGGGAGGCCGGAGGCAATGGAGAGGCCATATGGTGAGTAAGGTACAAGGCTGGCCACATACCTGAATCTCCTTTGGTAGGTGATACGGACTCAACAAGAGAGTCTAGGCTTGGTGTCATGAGCTTGGAACAGGTGTAACAGAAACCAGTGACAAATACTCAGCAGGTGGTAGCCCTTAGGCTTGCCTGCCTTTCAGCTCTTTCTCTTCTTTACTGCTTAGAGATTCCTGGTGGTATTCTGGCAGCAGTGCCCAGACCCCTGCCAGTAATGATCCTGATTGGCCCAAGATCCTCATGGCAATCCCATTGTCCTCTACAAAACATTCATCTAGGATGGTCACATGACCCAATTTTGGCATTGAAACAGAAAGATGAAGTCAAACAGAAGTTTAAAAGAGTGATTTTTCCTCCTAGAGAACAGGTGGGAGCAAAGCAAGGCAAGAAAGCCCTTCTTCTCCCACTTCCCTCTCTTCCTGCCATACATCTGAGGACATGACTTTGGAGCTACGACCATCTTGCCACTATGAGGGGAGACATCATTGCCACACTAAATGTGATAGGAAGGAAAGACAGAAAATGCTTGGGACATTCACGATACACTTGAGCTGCCACAACCAACATCAGGATAGCCTGCCTCTGGGATTCAGTCAATAAGCAATAGATGTTCTTCTGTTTTAAGGCATTTATAGTTGAGTATACTGGGAGCTGGATTGTTTCTAATCGTACACAGACATTTTCATTTAATTTTTCTTGCAGTGCTTAACCATATACAGTACAGATAAGATTAAAGTTTCCCATGAGATGCATCCCAGAATGACGAAGATAACATCAAGAATGTTACTAGAACCAATAATGCAGAAAATAGATTTCATAATCCATGAAAGAGTGACCAATAATCTGGCTCACAATAATCAAACATGTGCATGCCCACAGAAATAAATACACAATGCCTCACACACAGACAGTTTTTGAAAAGAAAGCTCCAGTTAATTAATTGTAAATGAAAACCTGGTAAACAAAGTACAGGAGTGATAAAGAAAAATGTCTCCTGTACACTTAATCTGGGATCTCAAGTTTGGTATTGTTTTTGGGTGTTCTACATATGAACTATCAATTCATTTGGCCAGGCTGCCTCGCAGCTACCATGAAGTCACCAATGTCATGTTTTTCACCTTCTTCATCTCCTCATACATCAGGAACTGAATGTTGAAGAGGCTTTTGTGCTCATACCAACCTCTGATGTGGTCACACCAAAGGCTTTCTAACACTCTGGGAAAAAGAGAGACATATTTATGTAACTATGTGGAACAGGTTGAAAGTAAGCTGCGGTGGTGGGAGGTGCAGGAATCTTTGTAACAAAGAAGGAAAAGGAAGTCTATTGCTAGATTTCAGATTTCCCCTAGCACCTGGTTATGGGAGAACTATCCACCTTCCCCTAGGAAACAATTACATGAACCCAAGAAGCAATTAGTCTCTTAAAAATGCATTTCATATAGACAGGAAATCATCTTCACATGGGGAGTGAAAAACCAAAACCGGAAAACAGAGGAATGAATCCTCTCCTTTTTGCTCCTCCCTCTGTCCCCAAAGACACATAGAGCTGTTTCCCTGCTGCATGCAACATGAAGGCTCCCTGATGAGGCACTTCAGCTCTGCACAGAGACTAATGTTAGTTAACTCTCCTGTTCCAGATCATCATCTCTACCTCTGCAGGCCTTGTTCCTGCTCAAACAGCCACACTGTCTCCTCAGAAAAGAATGCAGGGGGCACCTGGCTGGCTCTAGGATAGAGTAGGCAATGCTTGATCATGGGGTTGTGAGTTCAAGCCCCACATTGAGCATAGAGATTACTTAAAAAATAAATAAAAATTTAATGAAAATTTTTTTCTAAAAGAAAGGAATGTGTATCAGAACTTTGTCAAATAGAGCTCCTGGGAGGTGCCCCGTGCAATATACAGGGCAAAGCTCCAATCCTGTGATCTAAATTGACATGCTTCTCTCTGAGCTAGACCAGAAAACCGTATGCTCATGAAACCCCTTTTTCATGGTTAGATGTAAACATTTTCTGGTGATATAAATGTAACTTGACAGTCTCCTGAGAGGGAGCAGGAGTAAGCAAAATTTGTAAAAATGACAGGTCATGGTCATCCAAGACAACCCTACCAACTGGCTTGAAACATTGATTACTGACCCCTGTTCAACTCTTTCATCATCCTCTCTCTGCCAAATTCACTAAGCTTTAAAATTTACCACAGGACACCAAACGTATCACTTATGCTATAAATTTCAGTTACCTCTTCTGTTGAGAAATTGTTTCATGAATTCCTCAAAGGTACTTGTAAATTTTAACATCACATTCTTTGCAAAGTGAAAATATGAGCACATAACATCCTTAGGGTTTCTGTATACATAAATAATCTGGAAAGAAAGGAGGTATTCATTATTTCTGATGCTTTCATTCTCTCATATTTTTACCCTAATACCTTCCAATTGGATGAAGCCTATTGTTTTAACTTTACACTTTCCTAATCATGTCACGTATATACTCAGCCCTCTTTGTATTTTGGGTTTCCCCTTCTCAGCAATGCCTCTCCCTTTATGATTGGCCAGTGACTTTCAATTACTCCTCAAGACACACCTCACATAGTACCTCTTCTTAACTCACCCTGACAGAGAGCAACAATAGTCTCTTGTCCTACATCAATAAGCTAATACATGTGAAAATGTCTCATAGCTATAATATTATAGAACAATAGGAAAAACTTACTAAGATATTTTCATATCATCTTAGAAAATTTAGAGTATGCCTTTCATCCTTCAGCATATGGTTTACATAATTCTTATTTATATATCTTCATAGTGTAAAGTATAAGTACTTTGCATACAGAAGTTACTTCAGGAGCATTGAGGGATTCATTTTAAAAATTGTTTATTTTAACCAATCAGAAGACATACTTTCAAAAACAGCTAAGCAACCCAATGACATTAGAATACAATATGTCACCAATCTCTGTCCAACCCACATTTAAATGGCTTATTCTCTGTGTGTACAGAATATTCAGGGGCCCTGAATGAAACCTAAGGCTTGCATCTTCATTGTGAAAATAGCATGTATATATTTTATGACTCCTTTGGGAAGCATCTAGGGAAGCTTTCATTCACCTGCTGCCTCCCTGCACATTGCCTGGAGCCAACCCTTAAGCTAGGAGATGAGAAGATGGATATCAGCCCTGAGTGGCCCCACTGCCCTGGAAATAGAGCTCTTCACCGAGGGCATTTACCTGATATCAACAAACTGGCTGATAATATCAAACAATTGTTAACAGTGGTTGATATCTCCATAATGAAATAAAAGATTGTCCTAAACTTGAGAGAAGAAGTTCTTTTCATTCCCTTGCTGTGACTCTTCAAGTCTCCTGCTTTGGCTTTGAGAATGGCTTCTTGTCATTAATCTATATGCTTATGTCAAAGTGATATGGGCACAATGGTACAACTGAGTCACTTATGCCACATGTCCTGATCCTAACCCTCTTAGGTAGATAATGATAGTTATTAATATAGGGAACCTGGGAAGAGGAGTGGTTTGAAGGTAAAATAAAAATGCCATTAGGATATTTGAGTTCCGTATTTGGATAATAGAGTCCATGGAGATATTTGAGACCTTTATAGGCATAATATAGGAAATAGTAAATAGTTTATAGCAATCTAGAATTAAAGGGAGATATCAACTACATAGGCATAGTATTTAAAGTTAGGTGATTAGGTAATATACAACGGGGATTCACAACAGAGGGAGAAGAGGAGAAGGCCAGGCCAAACACCTAGGAATCATCAGCTGTCAGAGAGGTTAGACAGAGAAGGAAAAGCCAGTAAGGAGGAAGGAGCAGTATCCCAGGATGCCATGTATAAGGTAGAGAAAACCTCAAATAACACTTCTTATTTATTTATTTATTTATTTATTTATTTATTTATTTATTTGACAGAGAGATAGAGAGCACAAGTAGGCAGAGCGGCAGGCAGAGGGAAAGGGATAAGCAGGCTCTCCGCCGACCAGGGAGTCCAATGCGGGGCTCGATCCCAGGACCCCAGGACCATGACCCGAGCCGAAGGCAGCCGCTCAACCGACCGAGCCACCCAGGCACCCCTCAAATAACACTTCTTAAACAGTAGAGGTATCACCTTTTCCCACAAAACACCAAGGCCCAAGATGAGAGTGCAACAGGTTAGGTTAACTCATCTTCTCGATGTTGTCAAGGACTTAAGAGTCTCCCACTTTTCTACTCTGACATGTTCACCCTACTCCCCATGCCAGATGGCTACCACTTTTCATCCCCATGGTCTCTTTAAGAGTGAAGAAACCTTTTGTGAGAAACCACAGAGGAAACTTCTTCCCTTGAATCGTTGCTCATAAGCATGTCCCTTACCTGTGCCTGAATAAATCACTGAAAGCTGTCTGGCACCAAACCCTGGACTTGGACCAACCAAATGGTGCCCTTCTCCCCAGGCAGGGATGAAACCATCAAGCCAGAAGTGCATAGAGGGTACAAATCCAAGCACAATGGGAGTTCTGATGACATGAAATATGAGGAGAGGGAATGGTCATTGGGTGGGAATCCAACAGTATCTGCTCTAAATGTCCACTGAGACAGGCTGAAAACCAGGAACTTGGCAGTGTCTGAAACACCAGGAAAAGAAAATGTTTAAAGAGGTAAAAAGTGATCAACTACATCAGATGCCAGTGGTAGGCCAAGAAAAATGATAAGAAATGATTCCTGCATTTTGAAAATGTTGTAAAAAATAAGTGACATTGACATTCAGGATTCAGTGAAAGATTGGAGTTTGAGGGGGCACCTGGGTGGCTCATTCGTTAAGGGTCTGCCTTCGGCTCAAGTCATGATTCGAGGGCCCTGGGATCAAGCCCTGTGTCAGGCTCCCTGTTGAGCAGGAAGTCTGCTTCTCCCCCTCCCACTTCCCCTGCTTGTGTTCCCTCTCTCGCTGTGTCACTCTCTGTCAAATAAATAAATAAAATCTTAAAAAAAAAAAAAGAGTGGAGATTGAGGCTAAATTCTTTTAAGAAGTTTACCTCAAACAGGAAATGAAAGGCAGTAGCTGAAAATTGAAATGGAGCAAGAGAAATTTTGTTTTGCTGTAAAAATGTGCCACATGAAAACATGGTTATGGGCCAAATGTAATGATCCTGTAATCACAGGAAATTGGAGATGAATGAAAAAAAGAAATTATATTGCTCAAGTATAATCTTTGAGAATAGAGCAAGTTTCTCAACAGTGGCACCATGGACATTTTTCCCAGATAACCTGCTATAAGAGCGACCTTGAGCATCATAGGGCATTTAACAGCATCCTGGGCCTCAACGCACTAAAGACCAGCAGCATCACCACCCTAGCCAAAAATGCTCCAAATATGCCAAATATCCTGTGGGGAACAAAATGTCTACCATTTGTGAAACAATGGGGTAGATAAAAGGAATCCAAAAAGGGATCCAAACCATGAGTGGAGAGGCAGATATGTAATGAGAACAGAAATAGTCAACACATCCTTTTCTTCTTGAGGAGGGAAGGCAGTGAGTGGAGGTTTTGGATGTGGAGGTCATTGAGTGGGAACCATTTACTAGGGGCTATTTACTGGGAGAGGTGGAGCAGAATGCTACTGAGGTTTGAGAAGACAGAAGACAATAGCAAACAGTCATTCTGGAAAGGGGGGGAAGCAAAATATTTAAAAAGTAAAATTTGAGAATCGAGGCCATAAAAGTAAAGAGATGATACAACTTTCAAGTGTCTTGGTTTTTTCCTACCACACTACCAGATTCATGAACACAGGTACAAATATACAATTATTGGGTTTCACTAGAATTAGGGGTTGGCAGCTGATCATAATAGAGTTGAATGGAGCAAGGGAATTTAGACAAAAGGGATTTGAACGTAAAATATGGAGTCATTGGTGAGTGAGGCGAAATTGAAGATATGCGTGAGAGAGAGAGAGAGAGGAGAAGTGGAGGGGGAGGGGACAGGAAATCTGAATGTGGCGACCGGTCACTGCAATGGACACCTGAAAGGAGTGGGAGGCAAAGGAGGCAGCTCTCCGAGAACAAAGGGCTTGAAGTCAGGATTCAAGTTACGGCAATTGCTGGTGACCCCTTTGTTCATTCATTCAACTCTACTACCTGCTGGACACTGTTCTAGGCATTGCAAACTCCATCTCTCTCATGGGTTTACACTCGGGCCAGAAACAGACAACAAATAAACAAGTAAGTATGTATTACATCAGATGGCAAATGGTGTCATAAATAAAGGCAGGTTAATAACACGTTATAAACTCTGGAGGTTGGTGGAGGAAAAGGTCACTGGAGGTGAAGTCAACACTGAGAAGTCTGGCAGGGCTAGGGATATGAGAGGCCAGTGCAGAGCCTGAGGGGTCAATGAGAAGGAGGCAATCCTGCACTTGCATGACCCTGAGAATGAGTGAGTGCCTCCTTCCTGTTGACCCCTCTGGGGCAGTTTGGCTCACCCTTGTCTGGCTCTGACAGAAGACCATTCACATCAGCTTTGAAATAATCCCATGAGCAACAGGAGTAGAGGTAGAGAGAAAGGTAATGAGTCAAGAGCTGAAATTATCAATGGGTAGAGGTGACTAATCCAGGGAGAGGGAGAGAAAATCCCACAGTAGAGACAAATGATTTCTCTGAGGTTCCTTTGGATTTCCAAGAAACTAGTACATTTGAAGAGAAAGTAGGCAAAATAGGTGAACTGTGAAAAGGAAACAGGGAGGGCACACAGAGCAAAGAAGAAGGATTTTATATATACTTGCTATATATACTTATATAGCCTTTTATATATACTTGCTAATACAGCTGATTCAAAAATGAAAGGATATATATTATATATGATATTATAACACACTCTGGAAAGTAAATTAAATGCACACATATATACTCTTTCATTTTTTTAATGGCTGCATTACTTGTATAATCAGAAAACAAAGGGTGCAAGATACAAATCCAATACTATAAGATAAGAACACAGATGGCTATTGAAAATTAAAGTAAAGGGGCGCCTGGGTGACTCTGTTGGTTAAGTGTCTGCCTTCAGCCCAGGTCATGAGCCCAGGGTCCTTGGATCGAGTCCCACGTCAGGCTCTCTGCTCAGCAAGGAGCCTGCTTCTCCCTCCACCTGCCACTCCCCCTACTTGTGCTCTCTCTCTCTCTCTCTCTCTCTCAAATAAATAAATAAACTCTTAAAAAAAAAGAAAATTAAAGTATGTAAAATGCCACATTTGTGAACAGTGGATGAGTGAACAGTGTCAATGTCCTGAAACAAAATGAAATAATGAAAAATAACAATTATGTCTCAGCAGTCAGAGTCTATTTCTTACCTTGGCTTTTTTGTTCTTCAGCCCACTTGGAACCAAGTAGTATGAGAGGTGGGTAGAGAAGAGACAAGGAGATGGTCTTTCCCCAAAATCCACTTTTTGACAGTTGTACTTGAAGAAGGGGACTCGATCCATGGTTTCCAGTTTTCCAGTACCTTTGCGATGTTCCTCAAAATAAATCAGACTTAATAACTGCTGGAACCAGACGGTTCCTGTAAAAGGAATAACTTTGTTTTCAATGATGCACAAATTCCTCCAAAATGGAGATAGATATGTCATCAGTTTTTTAATCAGAGTTTGTCACTATAATAAGTACAATGGTAATTTCATCTGAATGGAATTCTTAATGTATCTAAAATGCATTATGGGTGAAAGAAAACAAACATGGCTTTTCTTTTTCTGTTTCAGGAGATATTCCATTTGAAACTCCATGGGCAATTTGTCCCACAAATTTATTCTTTGACTCTTCTGTGTTTTCTTCTGCTTCATATACAGGAGTTTTGAATGATCTTCTATGTCTGCCTTTCTATTTCCTTCCCCAATCCCACTCCTAGAATATGAGCCAAAATAAGTAAAGAAAAAAGGAATTCCACTGGAGGAGGCACTTTTCATCTTTCCCCCCTTCCCCACATTTCATTCTGTGCCCACGATGTCCACTTAAGGAAACAGTGTTCATTATAAATCCCTAAAGGAGGCCCTGGGACACCCACATGGAGACAGGAAGGGAAAGACAATGCCTAAAGTTGGACCTTTCCTTTTAAGTAGGATGTGACAAATTCTTACAAAGACTATTTTGCCTAATTCCACTTAGAGTGGACATTTGTCACAAAATATGTGGGTGTAATTGCCTGGTTTAGTTTCCTTACACTTCATTTGCATGCTTCCTATATGGGACTATTAAGGTTTAAAGGTCATGCTTCTGACATATCCAGGCAATGCTTTAAAAAGACTTACCACAACAAAAAGTCACAGATCCCAGAAAGATTCAAATCAACTTCTAAAATGAGCATTTCAGAAGAAATGGCCACTTGACAATTCCCATCCTAGGCTTCCTTCCTGAGACCATCCCATCACCCATTCTAAGTAGCAGCACCCAGTGAGGAAGATCATTGTCGGGCACGCATCCCTTGCTGACAGGTGCAGGTGGTGTGCCCCTTATCTGGTCCTCACAGTACCTTAATATTGGTGGTTGTAGTCCTCTAGTGCTGCCCAGGGAAGACCAAAGCCACATGGGCCTACATGTTACCACAGCTGGAACTCAAACTCAATGAAAACTCTTTGTTAGGAAGCTCTAAAAGGCTTTCTTACATCCTTTCACCTTTCCCAGATAACAGACGCTGCTACTGCAGAAGGGATCGTAGCTTCAGGGTAGCTGAGAAGTTATCTAACATGCCACAGTTCTGGAGAGACTCAATAAGAGGATGCAAGAATCTCTGCACAGATTCAAAAATTCAAATGTCTTTAGCTTCTTCTCCCACCTCCCCTTTCACAATGTGTCCTTCTCTCTCTCTCTTTCCTTCTTTCTTTCTCTTTCTTCCTTTTCCTTTGTTCTCCTTCCTTCTTTCCTTCTTTTCTTTCTTTCTTGGCCTATTTGATGGTCAGATGTTAGCAGATGGGATACTAAGCTTTTCCCTTCAGTTCCTGATATATTAACATCACTGATTCACTGTAGGCCCTCCCCAATCTGTCTATTCCTTTATCTCATTTCCTACTTCCATTCTATCCCAACCCCCACCACAGACAAATAGGCTTTGGGGTTTAAAGTGCATTCCTTGATGGAGTGTTCTTATGAAATATGTACTGTTGTATGTGTTTGTATTTTCAATCCATGGGCATCATTTCTTTCTGTTTGTCACTGTGCACTGTGGTTTAACATTCATTTATATGCTATGTCTGATCCATTGTCTAATAGATGCTGTTTCAGGGTGTGCATTCCCACACTGACCTATCCACTTTCCCCCAACAGACACCCCACCCCAAACAACACTGCAGTGTACACCCTCACTCATGTTCCCTGTGCACCTGCATGAGATTTTCTTGGCAAATAGGCAAAACAGGAATTGCCTGCTACATCTGGATTGCAGTTGTCCAGGGAGTGCCAGATTGCTCTCCAGAGGTGCTGCTTCAACTACTCTCTCAGGGGAAATATGCTAATGCATGTAGATTTCTGTGCACTCCATGTCAGCATTCAGATTAATTCACCCCTCCAATATTTGTCAGTCTAGTAGATGTAAATTAACATATCATTGTTTACCAGTTTGGGGAGGGGGGTGGTTGGTATTGGTGGAGGGTGTTTTTTTCTGTACATTTTCAGCTCATTTCTTTGGCTCTTTTTATACTCAGATTGCTGTCCCCTACTTGTTGATTTGTAGTCCTACTATGTTATAGATATTACTTAATTTTAAATTGTAGACGTTGCAAATATTTCTTCTCTTTCTGTCACCTATTATACAGACATCACCAAGATAAAAAGCTTCTGCACAGTGAATCAACAAAACTAAAAGGCAACCTTCAGGCCAGGAGAAGATATAGGCAAATGACATATCTGATAAAGGGTTAGTATCCAAAATCTATAAAGAACTTATCTAACTCAACAACCAAAAACAAACAATCCAGTTGAGAAATGGACAGAAGAAATGAATGGACATTTTTCCAAAGAAGACATCCAGATGGCTAACAGACACATGAAAAGACGCTCAACATCACTCATCGTCAGGGAAATGCAAATCAAAACTACACTGAGATAACACCACACACCTGTCAGAATGGCTGAAATTAACAACACAGGACACAACAGATGTTGGCAAGGATACAGTGAAAGGAGAACACTCTTTCACTGTTGGTGGGAATGCAAATTGGTGCAGCCACTCTGGAAAACAGTATGGAGGTTCCTCGAAAAGTTAAAAATAGAACTACCCTATGACCCAGCAATTACACTACCAGGTATTTACCCAAAGGTACAAAAATCCTGAAATAAAGGGATACATGCAGCCCCCATGTTTATAGCAGCATTATCAACAATAGCCAAATGGTGGAAAGAGCCCAAATGTCCACTGACTGATGAATGGATAAAGAAGATGTGGTATATATAATATTACTCAGCCATCAAAAAGAAATTAAATCTTGCCACTTACAATGATGTAGATGGAGCTATAGTGTATTATGCTAAGCAAAATAAGTCAGTCAAAGACAATATGATTTCCCTCATATTGTGGAATTTTAGAAAAAAAACAGATTAACATAGAGAGGGAAACTATAAAACAGTCTCTTAACTACAGAGAACAACTACAGAGAACAGAGGTGAATAACAAGAATCATGAGATGGGGGGCACCTGGGTGGCTCAGTCGGTTAAACGTCTGCCTTTGGCTTGGGTCATGAGCAGGAGCCTGCTTCTCCCTCTGCCTCGACCCTCCCCCTGCTTGTGCTCTCTCTTTCTGTCAAAATAAATAAAATATTTAAAAAAAAAATCACGAGATGGAGGAGATTCTTAAGAAACTGGGGCACCAACAAGGTAATGACCCATTTACAGAAGGAGGTAACAACCATTGAGACCAAGCTTGAACAGAAATGCAGTGACTGCCACAATCTGCTGCAGGCTTGCAAGATGCAGGACATCAAGTTGGCACTGTCTAAGGGCACTATGGATGACATTAGTCAGGGAGAGGGTAGCTCCCAGGGGGAGGATTCAGTGAGTGGTTCGCAGTGAACTTCCAGTAACTCTGTGTGAGAGGCCCTCATTGAGATTGACTATGGTGACCTGTGTGAAGAGCTGAAGGATGCCCAGGCTGAGAAGATCAAACAGGAAATGAATACACAGCAGCAGAAGCTGAATGAGCAGCAGAGTGGGCTCCAGCATATTGCTGCCCCTAACATGAAAGCCATGGAAATACTGGAAAGTGTCTGAGACAAGTTCCACGAGACCTCAGATGAGTTGGGGGACACCCAAAAGCAAGCCAAGAAAGCCAAGCAGGCATCCAAACAGATCAAGAAGGAGCACTTAGACTGCTTCAGTGCTTGCTTTGAATCTGTGACCACCAACATTAATGAGATCTACAAGGCCCTATCTGGCAACAGAGTGCCCAGGCATTCTATTTCTTAACTTGCAACTTCTTTAGAATAACTGGGGTAGTATAAGCATGAATTAACAAACACATGACTGTCTTCTAGGAAGCCTGACAAATTGCATGTGAGCAGTTAAGCTGTCCATAATGACAAAATGAACAATGGCACAAAGTAAAAGTCTAAGAGAAAACATTCAAATAATGGTTGACATATAGAAAGTGCTAACCCAGCCTTATGAGTCATCATTTACATATATATTTTGCCTTTTATTAGTATCCCTCACTAGCCATATGGAAAATAATCTACTCTGATGCTATGAACCCTGAGGTTATAGTTGATTTGGGGGTTCTTCCAGATGACTCTGAAGTGTCTTTTTTCTATTCCCCAAAGTAGTCGGACACAGGAACAGCTGACAAAATAAGAGCTTCAGAATCACACAATTTGAAAGCAATTCCAGGATGCCCTGGAAAGGGTCATTATAAGACAAAGGGAAATAAGAAGTATTTAAAATATATTTTGACAGTCACACTGTTACTAGAAAACAGAGGATTGATAGCCTCTCTTTACAAAGGAGATTTAGGAAAGCTGCAAATTAGTTGGAATCATCAACATGAATTCACAGCCAGGGAAGAAAGTGGGGGGCCAGACAGGAAGGGTAGAGGAAGAGAGAGGAGATAAATTAGTCTGTCACTCGAGTTATTTAAGGCTTCTCACCTTTGCCATCCTCAGTGTTCAAAGAAACAACCTAATTTACAACTCCATAACCATTGGGCTCTAATATTAACTTCCATTATCAAGAAGCACTGGCTCCCTAACAGTAGCCAATTTCATGTCTTGGGATCAAAACAATAAGGATGAGCCTATAATACCTTGATATTTTTATGAAATAAACATAATTCTACCATCTTATATTCTACTTATATTAGATCCTAGTATAATTACTACTATCATGGTGAATTATACCTTTCTTTTAGTTATGTTCTTAAATATCTAAATAAATAACTGGAATCATAAAATGGCTCAGTTTATTGGAAATCAAAGCAAAACAAGGATAGTATAGTTTTGCTTCATGTAGAAGAGCTGATAGCTTACACATTTTAGCCTAGTGTTTAGGAAAACACCAAACACCTAAAACTGCATAACTAGTACAGTACAGACAAGAGAAAGGAAGCAGAGAGTATGTCACCCCTAAAAGTACCAATTTGACATGTGGATTATCTTTTAGTTGAAAGCAGTTAAGACCCAGCGGACTCGGAGGCGGAGCAAGATGGCGGAGGAGTAGGAGACCTGGGTTTCCTCTGGTCTCAGGAATTCAGCTGAATGGGGATCAAACCATTCTGAACACCTACAAACTCAACAGGAGATCAAAGAAAAGAATAGCAACAACTCTCTGAACAGAAAAGCGACCACTTTCTGGAAGGCAGGATGTGTGGAGAAGTGAATCCGAGGCGATATTCGGGAGGATAGATGGCGGGGGAGGGGGCCTCCATCAGCCACTATCAGCAAGTGATAGAGCAGAAGAGCCCAAAATCGGAAATTTTAGAAGTCTGCTCTGATGAGGGATGTCGATCGCTCCAGTGGCTAAGCGGGAGGTGGAACCCTCGCTGGGACAGTGTGGTCTCAGGTTCCTCGGGGTCACAGAAAGACAGGGGGTGCCTGAGTGCGGCAGAGCTCCCAGGTATCAGAGCAGGGAAGCAGGCTGCAGAGACGGAGTGGAGGCGCAGGCTCTCAGCTTGGGGTTGCCATAAACCGTGATCCACAGCACAGTCGGGCCACTGCTCCTCCAGCAGGCCCCAACAAGCAGCAGATCCAGGGA